CTTCCGAGGAGTGGCTGGTGGGTTTGAACCACCAGCCTTCTGGTTAGCAGTCAAGTGCCTTAGGTACTACGCTACCAGAGCTCCTCCTCATCAGATAGGGTGATCCTATAACTTATCATCCAAACTGGAACATTTCTGAATGGGGCCTCTACTAATAATTATACTGGGACAAAAGGCACAATCTAGGATGTATGGTTACTCTACCACTAGCCTAACAACCAAAAGCCAAAGGCTAAGAGAGGCCACTGATGTAGTCTATGAAGCCAGCCTTCAAGGGCACAGAGAGAATAGAATGGATGGGAAGCAGACTTGGAGGGGCAAAAGGACAATATCCAGTGCACTTAGCCACTGTTTTATTATATACTAAAAGTAATTATATTCCATGCAATTTGGGATGAAACTTAGCCAAGAAAAATAAGGACCCTGAAGAATAAAGGTGTATAATATTATACACGTCAAGTAAAAATAATTAAAATGGTGGTATCATCAAAGTCTGCACATTTCAAAGACTGTTAATAAAGTCTGATGTTGAAGGAAAAAACTGGTCATTATTTTTTCACACTCAAATTCAGAGAAAAGTGTCTAATTATATTTCTAAAATAGCTTACCTATAAACGTATGCCTCCTAAAATATACCACCACCGTGATAGGTGATGATGAGAAATTAAGTTAAACAAGGTAATGAAAGACCATGCTTCAAATAATGTTGACTCTTAATACCCATGACCTTCAAGTGATCCTGAGTGATTGTAATAAATTCACGATAATGGATCTAAACTCAAGTTAGGGCTTAAAAGTGAGATTTGAGATTGACCTATCAGTGTTTAGATAGAGAGTGAAACTACAGGAGCACAGATTACCTAGGAAAGGGATCACACTCCCCAATCTCAAAAACTACTATACAGCATTGGTAGCCAAAACAGCCTGGTACTACTGTTACAGTGACAAACACAAAGCCCAGTGGAACAGAACTGAGAATTAAATTAGGGGACAAGTTCCTAACATATGGACCCGGATCCTCACAAGGAAGTATATGAATAGAACTATAATTTATTTATGTGGTGGATTACATTGATTGTTTTTCTAATGTTGAACCATCCCCGCATACCTGGTATGAACCCCACTTGGTCATGATGAATGATTTTCTTGATATG